CTCTATAATTTAGAATGAACTTTGTGAATTATTTACTATTCAAGTACATACATTAATACTGCAACTGCAAATTTTAATTAAATTAAATATTTTGCAACAACAATCTTCAGGCTGTCTTTCATAGAGAGGGGGAGGGGGCCGTTTCCTGCCTTTTTTTTTTCCAAAAAAATTTCAGTTAAAATACAAAGTAAATAATGTTCAAACTAACTACATCAATATTCAAGACAAACACTCGAAACAAACAATATTCAAAATATTTTTTTATTTTATTTTTACCGCCCCGCCCTGAGACCCGAGACGGGGCAGGTTTTTTTCGCCTAATTCAGGACGGGACATGTGTTTTTGCCATCACTAGTCTTTCATCACAATAAAAGATAAATGAATAATAATAAATATATTGAAATAGTGACAGAAGTAAAAAAGACAAGAAAATGTTTAAACTAAACCTCTAATATTCCATGAAAATTACAAGGTCATAAATATGTAAATTCAAAATATTTATAAATAATATAAATAGGTGCTCTATTAGGGCAATTATTGAGGGCGTCCTTACAAATTATAAGTCAAAGAAAGCTATTATAAAACCATAACATTTTTTCTTAATGATTTTATTATCATCAATTAAATTTTTTTTTCTCAATGTGTCCAAGAAAATGGGTTCCATTCGACCTCCATTATCTGCAATTATTTATTTTGATCAAATGCTTATCTGAAAATGCAACATTAATGTGGTGTGACACGATGCTTTGGATGAATTATTTTTTGTATTTCGAATAAATATATATCTTCTATATCAATTCACTTCAGAGAAGTATGCTATAAGGCTACGTTTGGCACATCGGATTATATTGTACAAGAAATTATACAAGAAGTATCCAAATACTTTAGTACTCTAATTTATATTTAATTTATTATATTATACAAGAAATTATTGAGGATTGTATTCCAAAAATTAATGTTAGTATAATTTAAGTGGAGAATAAATAAAGTCACCTTCAAATTTAATTATACTTAATTTCAAATCAATCAATCTAATTGCTTTTCAAGGGTAAAATGTGGCCGACAAGGCATCATCAAAGTATACAAAACTTTTTGCCCAAAAGTCACAAGTGTTCCCAACCTTGACAATGAGTGGAGTGTGTGTGCATGGATAAATTCTTCAAGAAGTTATCAACCTTTCATAAGTATAGCATTTATGTCTCTAATCTTCCATTTGTAACTTTCATGTTCCTAATCTTTTAACATTTGTAAAAAAAAAAATGTGGCGTTAATATAATTATCATTCGAAAGTTCAAGCATCGATCGTTCAAATTTACGTTTTAATGCTGTAGTTTCTTGGACATTTTTACCCTTTCAGTTAGCTTCAAATAGACTTTTCCCCTCACGTGAGAATACCTCACACAGAGTGTCAAGACATGAGTGCTAGAAATGAAAAGTTAACGACATAGCAGACACTTATGAAAGGTTGAGGACTTGGAGGAATTTGCCCTATACACATGTATACTAATTCTATCTTGCCATTCACTTTGAACTTTCTTTGGTAGAAGGTTGCATTTTTTCGTACCAAATGATGGCAGACAAGAACACATTATGTGAAGCTTGAAAAGAATTATTAGGAATTAAGAACTCAAAATGGGGCAATTATGTTGAAGAGAGCCTCAAAAGATTACCTAATTTAAATTAGTTTTCAATATTTCTTGCTACATAAAGTTAGAAATTATGGGATTTTTAAATCTAGTATACTTTTACAAAGGAATAATTTTTTAACTTTGGGAGATGCCAAAATCTGTAAAGAGTCCTTTTTCTTGACATGTATGTAGATTCTTTTTATCGCCAATTGCATTGAGGGTTCGATTGACAATCCTTCTCCCTTCTTGTAAAAGAATTTTTTGAAAAAGTAATCTTAGTCCACCGTCTTCTTAAAACTATTTTAATCCGACAAAGTATTTTCATAAAATTATTCAAACATTGTTCAAAATCAACTTCTTAATTCTAGAAGTAGCTTTTGACGTTTCACATGCTGGATTAAACGAACCCTGATTGGAGATCACATAATTCTTCCATACTATGACGTTTGATATGTATCATTTTGATGCACAAGTGACATATTTTATCACGAGTTTTTATTACTTGCTTTTTTATTTTTTAACAAAATTTTTTGTTACCATATAGCCCACTTGACCGAATAAGTAGTATATATACCATGTTTGTGTTCCATTCTTTCAAAATTCTTTTTTNATATAATTATCATTCGAAAGTTCAAGCATCGATCGTTCAAATTTACGTTTTAATGCTGTAGTTTCTTGGACATTTTTACCCTTTCAGTTAGCTTCAAATAGACTTTTCCCCTCACGTGAGAATACCTCACACAGAGTGTCAAGACATGAGTGCTAGAAATGAAAAGTTAACGACATAGCAGACACTTATGAAAGGTTGAGGACTTGGAGGAATTTGCCCTATACACATGTATACTAATTCTATCTTGCCATTCACTTTGAACTTTCTTTGGTAGAAGGTTGCATTTTTTCGTACCAAATGATGGCAGACAAGAACACATTATGTGAAGCTTGAAAAGAATTATTAGGAATTAAGAACTCAAAATGGGGCAATTATGTTGAAGAGAGCCTCAAAAGATTACCTAATTTAAATTAGTTTTCAATATTTCTTGCTACATAAAGTTAGAAATTATGGGATTTTTAAATCTAGTATACTTTTACAAAGGAATAATTTTTTAACTTTGGGAGATGCCAAAATCTGTAAAGAGTCCTTTTTCTTGACATGTATGTAGATTCTTTTTATCGCCAATTGCATTGAGGGTTCGATTGACAATCCTTCTCCCTTCTTGTAAAAGAATTTTTTGAAAAAGTAATCTTAGTCCACCGTCTTCTTAAAACTATTTTAATCCGACAAAGTATTTTCATAAAATTATTCAAACATTGTTCAAAATCAACTTCTTAATTCTAGAAGTAGCTTTTGACGTTTCACATGCTGGATTAAACGAACCCTGATTGGAGATCACATAATTCTTCCATACTATGACGTTTGATATGTATCATTTTGATGCACAAGTGACATATTTTATCACGAGTTTTTATTACTTGCTTTTTTATTTTTTAACAAAATTTTTTGTTACCATATAGCCCACTTGACCGAATAAGTAGTATATATACCATGTTTGTGTTCCATTCTTTCAAAATTCTTTTTTTTTTACATACTCATTTTCAACCAGACATTCACACAATAAAATATTTTACACGTGAACCCAAATTTTTTTCCTACTTTATAATTATATATTCTCTCAAAAAACCGCCATTTAAAACAATGTTTTTTTTTCCTCAAAAATGGCCACCAAACAGGGCATAAAGATCCCC